CCTATAGAGGAAGGCAAACCCCCTCACAGTCCTACTAATCCGACCAGGAGGTAAAATTCCTTCCTGATTCCAAATATAAAAGGTCTGACCCCGAGCAGAGGGGCACATACCTCCAGTTTTGAGTCCCAACAGGAGCACTGGCACACCCTGATGAGAGGCATTTTTTACCCACCGGACAGCTTCCCTGGCCAAGTTATAGTTGTTGTTTGAGCGTGGAAAATCTTGCAATGAACATGTGCAGCAGTCAATTCAGTTAAGATTATTATAGCAAGCAATGTTCCCTCCAAAGAGTAGCAGTCAGTGAGCGCGCCACTTTGGTCCGTGAGCACACCGATTTGGTCCCACCTACCCCTTTCGGTGCAGCGTAGGACACTTACCAGATGTAAGCTCCTCACCCAGGACAAGCAATGGGGCCTGGGGGCTAGAGGCTGGGGTGGGCTCTGCTGGGGGCCTAGGGAGTGGAGCACTTTCCCGGAGCTGGCGGAGCTCGTGCCAGGTTGGGGAGAAGCTTACCTTCATTAAGTGTCCCATGCTGCAGCCCAGCTCCTCTTCCGGCGGATGCGCGGCCTTAAAAAGTTGCCAGACTTTATCGGCCAGACTTTTACTTGTGCACAGCTGTGCACGCATGCACCTTAGAGGGAACCTTGCTAGCAAGACTGAACTCTTCACCTTTGCTGATGTAAGGGATCTAGTTTTGCTGTGGAGCATGCGTAGTGGCTAGGATCTACCTGTTGAGTGCTGAGTACAGGGTGTGGAGCTATGTGCAAAAGTGTGGTAGCATGTGCACAGGCATTTGACTGGACGGGACATGGTCTGAGCAAGTGTTTGATACAAAGTTTGATGATGGGAACTGTTGCAGACTGCATGAGGGAAGTACAGATTTGATTGGATGGTATATGGTTCAAGCATAGGCTCGATACAAAACTTAATGGTGAACAGGCTGGAGCATGAAGTGATTGGATGAGCAAGATGGGGTGATTTTGAGGTGTAAGAGTCTGAGTTTAGCTTGTGTGTTGGAGTAGGAGGGGGTTTCTGCTCCAGAGAGGGTCTGATCCATGAGGTAGGGGTCATTACTGTGCACTGGCGGCAGGTCTACATTTATCACGCCATTCACCAGTTAACCCTGGGGCCATTACTGTGCACAAGTGACAGGTCTACATTTCTTGCACTATTAGCCAGTTAACCCTGGGGTCGTTACTGTGTACTGGAGGCAGGTCTACGTTTATTGCGCCAATCCCCACTTCACCGCGGGGACATAACTGTGCAGGAGTAGCTGCTCTACGTTTACAGGCAGTCCTCGACTTACGGCGATTCGCACTTGCGGCGCTCCACCACTTACACCCACATTAGTACTTACGGCGCTGGATCCTCGCGCTTACGGCACTACAGGGGAATTTACAACAAGCAAAAGAGGGCAGCAAAACAAACATCCCTAGTTCAGTTTCTCAAAAAGCCATCAAGTGGCCCAAAGTCTCCCCAAAGAAGCCTCTGAATGCCATGACCCCGATGAAGGTGTTCCTTCACTTTCTGATTACATAAACTTTTGTATGACTAGTTACTGTATTGCCCTGTTTAATCAATTTATGTACGGTACACTTTAGAAAGTTTTGTACCATACAGTCGGTTAAATTGTTGGTTTAAATATGGTGCTTGTGGTCATTTCTATAAAAAGTTGGGCATCAGGCCCTCGGTCAGCAACGTATCCCCTGTTATAACACTGTTTCTATGGGAAAATCAGATTCGACTTGCATCGTTTCGACTTACAGCACCTTCTCCAAGAACATAACCTGTATTGCGCCACGAGTCTACACTTATTGTGTGGTACAGCAGGACACACGGCCACACAGGTTACCTGCAGCACTGACACGCGCGCACACGTCACACACACGTGTTACCTGCAGCACCCGGTGGCAGAAGCGGCGCACGGAGCGCAGCGAGGCGAGGTCGAGCTCCCGCACCAGCAGGTCGCCGTCGTGTGCGGAACCGGCGGCGCAGGTACCAAGCTCGGCGCGGATGTCGCGGGCGGCGCTCTCGGCACGGGCGCGATCGCGGCAGC